AAAACTGTTACCACACCTCTGTGAAATACGCTTGAATGCTTGTAGACCTCCGCCTACTCCCCACCTTTAGTGCCCAATATAGCCTTCTGTATGCCATTGGTAATCGACTTGCGATGAATGAACGGCCATTGAAATGTGGCTGCCTGCTTTTTATCAGTTCTTGGAATGACCGCAGTCGAGGCCGAAAACCGAGGCGTCGCCTGCTGACGAAGAGCTCTTGCCCGACGCAGCCAATTTGACATCCGCACCAACGGAACACTACAAATTCAGTGCTCGTTATACAAGCAACTACACTTCACAGAAAATGCAAAAGTGCATCCCAACACGATGAAACAAAACACGTGAATGAGAAGAAAGAACAAAACACAATCAGAATAGGGATCACAGTTTCCCACTTGTAGACTCTCCCAAGCCTATCAGCTCATCAGACCATGTTCCATGGAACCCATTGGTGATGAAGGTATTGGTATGTAACTGTAACAGCAAGGACAACAATCACGCTGAACACCCCACCAGAGTTCACCAAAACAATGTGCTAATTGTTCATGCGTGTTGTATGATGCATAAAAGGCACTAATGTGCGAGCATTTCTATCACGTTAGAAAATTCTCGGCAAATTCGGCGAATATGTGGCGAATAATGCATCACTTGCATCGGGAACAGTTCACGAAAAGGGGGACTAGGAAATGATCTCTTCTACTAATCTGCAACGCCTTATGTTTCTCAAGTCGGATAAAATTCCTGTGGCAGGTTCGAAAGCATCCCCCTCACCTCACAGACGGGCCCTTCAGAGACATGCCTCGCATCCAGTAGGACGAAGTAAGTGGAGTGCTTTGCCGAGTCATAAACCTGTACCTGAAAAAAACGGCAAAATGGAGTAACCAGGGATCGAACTCGCGACCTACAACAAGATATCCATCATCTTCTTCCGCTGGACTACGCGGCACTATACCTTTCGTTCCGATTCTTGGACAGAAGACCGGTTCGCCAACTGTACACCCCGAAGGGCTTATCCAAATGCCTATCGGACTTTCCTGAATCGAACAATTTCAAAGTAGTAAATCATCATAGGAATCCCGGTAGAGATGCACGGAAACCATCTGAATTTTCATGCTGCCACCGATACATGTAGTCGTTTTTGTGCATAATTTACCACCCTGGCATAGGGTAGTGAAGATATCCTGATCTCAGCTGAGAAAAGCGAACTAATATTCCTACTCCAACACTGTGGTTTCTAATCACCACAAAAGCATCGAATCTCGAGGGTGATTCCCTCATTCACACAGGAACGTTCTGATACTATCAAACTGGTATGAGGTTATCAGCAATAGGAAAATATATCGGAGTTTCACCCTAGTGATATGACAAACACTAGTGAAAATTTATTCCACGACTACTGCATATCACCGCAAATATCGAGTTTTTCACAGAGTATTACGCCACTTCACTTCAAAGTGTTTGGAGAAACTCCAATGTAACCGACTTACAGGCTTTTGCCTATCCATCTTGATAATAGAAGTAAATGGAATCCTCTTGCTAGTGTTACCCATTAAGTAGATATACCGATTCGATGCTGCAAGGAGAAGTTCACTCTCCTCCTCCCCCCCTCCTACCTGGGGCTACATGACTCAGTGGATGCACAGTCGGGAACTCCCCACAGGCCCTCCCGCCCAGTCTGCTGGTCTCGACGGCTATTGAATTCTCACCGGGAGAGAACCTCAACGAGAAGTTGTACATTTGACCTGAGCATACAACACGTATAGTCATCTTAATGCGATACGCCTAACACGTTTCTTCTAAGAGCAATGTGAATCCGTCTGAAACCCGGCACACGAGAGATCCACTTTCATGTTCACAGCCTCACCACAACGACCATCAAAACTGTTCTCATAAAAGCTTTCTACAATTATGATGGTTGAAAAAAAACTATTCTTCCATATATTTCATTAAAAAACTGTTTCGTATTAGTTTTTACAGTTAACTATTCTTACAAAACTTCCCTTACTCTGTGGTTTGGATTGAACGAGCTTCTCCACTATGTTTTCTAGCTATCAAGCAAACTCACCCGGGGCATCGTTGGAATTAGAAAGGAATAACTTGTCCTTGAACTCCATAGTGAACTCTTCTGGCAAGCACAGAGCCGATACCTCAATAACGACCTCTCCTCCTTCCCTCCTCTCATCACAATGTGCAAAGTGGAATATATGGCAAGCTTGTATATCACATTCGCGGACCTAGTGGTGTACGTAATACTGCTTACGATATTCTTCTTCTTCATCAACTCACCGGGCCACCACCATCCCTAGGGATGATCACCAATCGGCTCGGCAGTTGTGGGTGGAACCTACGATGCCCATCCAAGTAGCAGCGTCCGAGTAGGGTCACCTCATGAGGAGTCCAGGGGCCTGCTTGCTGTACTTGAAGTCCTCAAGGGACACGAAGGGCGTCATATGGACTATATAGAACTCTGGCGTGAGGACAAAGTCGTGAACCTACAACGCTACGAATGTAACCGATTCCAACAACAGCCTTACATAGGTTAGCCCAGGTATGCAACGTGTCACTTGCCGTTGATGCCCCCAGGCTTGGTCATACTCGTTGAACTGCACTTGGCTCGACTTAGACTCAAACGATACGGTGACGAGCCGTTTCAAGTGAGCATCGACGCGGAAGTGGGCACTGGTGCGTCGTAAAGTCTAAAGCAAATGATGGTCTTCAATCACTAATGTACACTTCTATCACATGTGTTCTCCCCCTGTACTCAGCCCCTACACCCGCTGTATACAACCCTTGTAAAACTGTACGGC